TGATTTCTGTATTATTCTGATTTCTGTATTCCTGGGCTGTTAAACAGAGCACTGTCACAGGGATATGGTGAAGTCTGAGGGTAGGGTGGACTCTCAGTCAGCACATGGATACACACCCTAAGCCTAAATCAGACCAGGAGTCAAAGCAATGGGCACTATCAACCATCACACACTGAGGCACCATTCTTTTGGCACTCCCAGCCTTTGGACATGTTTTTGAGGTGCTGAGCCAACTGGGGCCTTGACTGATTCTTAGAACTGGCTTCATTTTCCCCCAGCGGGCACTGATGTGGTGTGTGAACCCTTGGGGAGCCTGGTGCTGGATTCCAGCCCATGATGGAAAAATGGAAGGGGAGAGAAGGAAGAAAGAAAGAAGGAAGTGACCCATGTAACCACAGAGCTGACCTCAGCAGTGTGCCAGCTTTTAGAGCTGATTTGGAGGGCAACAATAATCAGGGACACAGTGGTAAAAGGATGCAAGATAGGCTTCCTCCAGGCAAAACTCATTGGCTGCATTTCTCTGACTAAAATAACTGGCTTTTCAGACAAAGGAAATGTAGTAGATTTAATCTGTTTGGTGAAGAACTCCTTTTGCTACATGGGAAATGCCTACTGGTGACATGCTGGGAAACACAGATATTATTGTGTAATTCATAGAGAGGTGAGAGCTGGCCTCCCATCTACCTTTAGTGCTGCAAAGGAGTACCAGGTATGAAAGGAATTTAGATCAGTTACTAGTGGGCTTCCTGAAAGGTCTGTCTTGCATTTGATCTAATTTACTATGCTCATTAATGACCTTGGCACAAAAAAGAAGAAAACTGCTGGAAAATTAAAGAAAATGCTGACAATACAAAGCCTAGAAGCAGTGTCAATGCCTCAGAGGATTAGGATGTCAAACAGGAAGAACAGAATAACCTTCAGTACTGCAATAACAAAACTAGGATGGAAATAAACAGCACACAGTGCAAGGCTGAGGGCTCAGGGACCAATAACAAGCATTTCTGTGTTAAAGTAGGGTTCATGCAATGAAATAAATGAGGAGGAAAACATCTCGAATGACCGTAAGCCACAAATATGATGCAGCCATGAAAAAAGCAATAAGAAGTTAAAGTAATGGATTTAGCCCAGAAAAATGATTGAAGGAGGAGATACAATGGTTTGTTGTGTCCTGTGGCAAATAGCCCAAGGCTGAAAGGAAGGGAGGGAAAATACTCTGTAAGAAAAGGAACAGAGCTGATGCACAAAAAAAAAAGGCTGAAAAATGACAGTGAGTAACTTAGGCTGGAAATAAAAGGTTCTGACCCACATGAACAGCAAGGTCAAAGGAGAGCCTACCAGTGAGGGAAGGAGCCTGTGGAAAATGCTCAGCTTATAGAAAGCAGTCTAAGATGTGCTGCTGGTAGTAGCAGAAAACTAACCCTGGAGCTCAGGAGATATTTTCAAGTCCTAAACAGTGAAAATAAGTGCTCAGGGTCTCCTGTGGTTTTCTGTAGATGCAGCCAGGGATTTCTGGCATTTATGCTGCTGTTCAGCATCCATGTAAGAACACCAAATATTCAGCAGGCCCCTGAAAGAACTTAACCTCTCCTAAAATCTCTTACAGCAAAGAGGAGAAAAATTACCATCGTTTGCACACAGTCCATTACAAGTCCAACAGTTGGGGAATTTCATGTGGTTTTGGTGCTTGTCCTGCCTTGGAGGGAAAAGTTTCATAGCCACAGCCCCAGCCATGCATGCAGAAGTGTGTGGCCAGTGGCCGAGCTGTGTTTTCAGTGAAAACAGCTGATGGGATCTGTGATTTGTGAGTCTGGTGCCAGCCCCAGGGCTGGCCCTGCCGCTGTATTTGGGTTGGTGCTGGGCGTGCTGGAAGCGACCCATCCACACCGCATGCAGGAATCCAGATTCCATCTGGTTACAGCAGGGTTTTGTAAAAAATACCTAAAGAGCTAGGCAAAGGATTAGAATAAAGAGGTGCTAATAGGGTGCAGTTGGGACAGGAAAGGAAGCTGTAAAGAATTTAATGGAAAAAGAGGGTCAAGGAACATAAAAAATAAAATAAGAAGAAAAAGAGGCATTTTTTTAAAAGGTGAAAGAGTAACAATAATAAAGAATGAAAGATTCTTTTATTTTTGCCAGTTTCAACAAAACTCTTAAGAAAATTCTCTTCTCTGACGTTTAATTTTAAAACATGTCAGTGTATCCAATCAAGTTTTAAATCCTGCTTTGTTTTCCTCAGATGCTGGGTTGCAGTTGGAGAATTCCAATCTTCTCCTTGGCCTCATGAAAGTATTGTCCCCTGCCCTACATTATTTGGCTCTCCTGAGAGGTGGCTGAAGTTCAAAGGGATATATAATTTACAGAGCACTTTGGGATCATGCTGGAAGAAAGACACTGTTATTAATAACATACCCTTTTTTCCTCCTGATCACTTTATAAATGTGGCTAACTGTTTATTTTATTTTTATTACAATCTCAACAGCAACAGCCTCTTCCTCCACTTAAACAATATGATCTCACCCCATCCCAAAGAGTTTGCAATCTAGCTTACACATGGATTGAGAGAGGAAACAAAGGGACAGCGTGGGACAGTGAATTAAAGTCACACAGCCCATCCAAAAGTGAAACAGAGACTGAGTGTCCTCTGACCCAGTCCTGTGCCGGCCAAAAGACCCCCTCTAGAGATAAATACTCTGAAAGGTGATTCTCCTAAATTTTGAGTGAAAGTGCAAATGCAATTCAGAATGCACAAAACAGAGCTGGTTTACTAGAGAAAGGAGAGCATTGTTCCTTCTTCTGAACTCAGGTGAAGGGCTTAGGTCTGAGTGGAAATGGGAAAGGACCTTATTGTAACAAGATGCTACAATAATTTTACTTGAAACCCTAAAACAAATTCAGGGCTCATAAAAAAAGCATTGACATGGTGAAAGAGAATGGTTTCTTTAAGATGTTCTTGGTCAGAGAATATGCTAAGCATGCTTTTCTAATGTCTGGGTGGGCAAACGCAAGTGGAAATTTAAATTCTACAGAGGCACAGAGAATGTGCTTCTGAAAATGTTTCCAGTTAAAAGCATGTTAAGTGTGAAAGTGTACTCTACACAGAGGGAGTGAGGGAGTGTGGTCTATCAGATCATCAGCAAGGATTCTGTGGCCTTTCCAGGTTCTAAGCACATTGACAGTGTCTGCTGTCATTGCTCTGAAAAAAATAGGCCAGTAAGAGTGTCCCTGTGCCAGAGCTGACTGCAGCTGGGCAGAGCTGTGCTAAGCTGTGCCCATAAACTGCCTGCTGGCTCCACACAGGAGAAGAGAGACCCTGGAATAACATTTAGGGCTGGACCCAATTCCCCAGAGGAACACAGGCTGGATACAGGAGCAGAGTAATCCTTTCTGAGGAGGTTTTGTGTGATTGAACCTCACCCACTGTCACTGCCCTGACAGGCAGCAGTGCTGGGCAGCAAAGAGACCTCCCCAGGGGCTCAGGGTCATGGGGGCCCCTCAGAGCACACTGTGGGGCTCAGGGCTGTGACATGGCCAGAACTTCCCATCCTTGCTCTCAGCCGGTAGAGGCAGAAGCTGCCCACAACTTCAAGAACTTTTAAAGTTGCTTTTCTTCATCTCTATCACCTGGAACCCCTCCTATACCTGCCTGGGCTCACTCCAGTCTACTCCTGACAGCTTTCCAAAAGGTCTGGGAGAAACACTTCATGCCAGGGCAGCAACACAAGCAGATGCTTTTTGTTTCTTTCTGAGAGAGTGACATGACAGAAATCCCAGCCTCACTGGACTTCCTTCTTCAAGGAAACAGTTGTTTCCTTTAAGCCATGGGGATTTTGGCTCTCCTTACACACCAGAATATCTCATTATACCTTTCAGTACTGCAAGCTGTACAACCAATATTGTCCAGCAGCAATAACAGGCAGTGCAGACAGAAACTGAAACCTGAACCAGCCTTATTGATGGATGACCTGACACTGCATTTCCCTGCTCCAGGGCACTTTAATCAGAGTGCAGGTCTAATTAGAAGGAAGTGTGCTGTTTGCTGTTCCCCCCATTGTTTCTGCCAGCAGGATTAGCTTTGTAGGTGCATTTCTCTGGCTTGTCTGATTACCCAAGATGCAGCAGCCAGCAGGCTGGTTTGAAGGGGCTTTTTTAGGTACTGTTCAGCTTTATCTGAAATTGATTTTCTCACAGAATATTCTGAGTTGGAAGGAACCCACAAGGATCATTGAGCCCACCTCTGAAGTGAATGGCCCATACATGCATCAAACCCCTGATCCTGGTGTTATTCTAACTACCATCAAAATTGGAGTTTCCATACTATTCTACAACGCTAAACATCACTGCAGAACAAGAGTGAACTTCTTCTGTCAGCAAACAAACTGAACAAATTAATTTACCTTCCTGTCTTTTGTCATTTTGGCCAGAAATGTCTTTTTTAATATAACACAGATCAAAATAATTTCAGCTGAAAGTGCTTGCCAAATTAAAAAAAATATTTTTATTATTTTTAGAGATCTCTAATAACTAGTGAGGAGAAAAGCACCCTTACTGAGGAAAACATCTAAAATGTGTTTCATCATAATTTAATTTATTGACCTCAGGGTTTTTGTAGTGTTGTTTGACAGTTAATTAGACCCCATTCTGTGCTGATTCAAAAAAAGAAAGGTTAGAGATGCAGTCACTCTACTCTTGTCTAACTTTATACTGTAAGTTCTGTCTCTCATGAGGCAACCAAGGGGAAAAGAAAACCATCCCCAAACAATGTATGAAGGCAGCCTGCATGGAATCTGGCCTTACTGACCACAAATTAAACGGGCTTTGTCTGAGGTAATGAAAATCTGACCTGCTCAACAAAAGGAAATGAATATTACAGCTGCTTACTGTGGCTAACAACGCGTCCCAATACTTTGAGACATTTTCACTGTGTTCAGCAGATGGAGGCTTTGGAAAGGGGCAGTTTCTGAAGGCAAAGGATATTGGTTTTAGTGTTTTTAACTCCTTACCGTGACTGGCAGGGGTGTGTGTTACATTTCCTGACCTGGGGCTCGGGGCGGGTCACTCGCTGGCAGTCACTGTCATTCACCAGTGTCATGGTCTTGTTAATGATCCGAGTGCAGGACACGATGGTTCTCCTCTCACCTGGAAGCCAAATCAAAAAGAACTCAGAACAAAACCACCTCCACTCATCAAAACTCCAAAACTCAAAAGCTTGGAGCTCCCTGCTCCCTCTACCAGATGTACTCCACCACCTCTGCAAGAAATCTCACTCTCCACTTTGTTAGACCTTTGTACTGGCATGTTTTGGGTCGGTTTTTTTCCAGAAAAGCTACAAATCTTTCCCCACTAATCATGCAATTGACTGTTTCACATGAGCAGCAACTTGGGCTTTCTCCTTCTAGTGTTTAAGGTGGAAAGAAGCTTTAAAACAATTTGTTTTCATTTCTGGTTCCTCCTCCACAGGTAGCTGTGCCCTGTCATCACCTCGGGCAGATGTGCTGAAGTCACACAACCTCCCACCGCCTGCTAAGGTGACTGATAATGACAGGACAGCTGCCTCCTGCTGCTCCCCGGGCAGGAAATCAGGATGAAAAGGACTGACCGAGGTTCAGGAGTCATAAACTGAGCTTGTTCATCTTTCACAAAGAGAAAATAAAGCCACCAAAACAAATTATTTCTCATCTCCAGCTCCTCCAGATATACTGCTTTAAAATCCTTGTGGCAGGAGCATCTCAGGAGGAGTCAGCATTTCTCACATAAACTGAGCACCAGGAGTTTCCTTCATCCAGTGTGGCCCTCAGGGTTCAGCTTTCCACTGAGTGGCATCAGGAAAGCTGTGCCACAGGGAGCATGACAGTGACCAGATGAGACAAGGAAAGTGCTACTCCTGCTCTGTGTGACTTTGTCTCACTGCTAATTTTGGTTTCTCAGGTTTGTTTTCTAACCCTGAGGCTGCGTCAGATTGAGTTTATTCACCATCTGCAGCTGAAAATAAAAAAAAAACTCACGTTCTGCCAATAAAAAATATCAAAACAACTGTATGGAAAGGAAAAAGGCCTTCCCAGCTTGGATAAGTAGCAAAAGCATTGAACAACTAAAATAAAAGACCAATTATCAAGCTAGTACTGGTGGGAGCCATGCTGGAAGACACTGATTTGATTCAAATTTATAACAGGCTTACAACAAAAATCAGAAGAGTCACAAGTAATTTTTTTTCCCCTCATGTGAGGGTTTAATGGCTTAAAAAGTATTATTTTAATGCACTAGTAAAAGTGTCTATTCCAAAGTTAGTCCTATTTACAGAAAAAAAATGAGTAATTTCAGTGCACTGAGGGCAGTGAGCCTGTAAATGTGAAGATGAGCTCTTTCCTCCTGTCATGTCACATCATAAATAACTGAGTCTGCTGGTGCAGACAGACTCAACAATCTGCTTTCCTCAGGGAACAACCTCCTTCTTCCAGCACTGCAAATGCAATGGACAGTGTCTGACAAAGCAGTCTCTGCTTCCACAGCACCAGCTCCCCCAGGGCTGCAGCAGATCTGTCTGGGCACATCCAGGGATGCTCTGGGAAGGGAGCTTTGCCACGTGCTCCCGGATGGGAGCATCTGATGCAGATCTCCAGGAGCTGTCCCAGCAGCACTGCCCTGCTCCATCCCTGGGGAGGGAAGGGCCTTTCCCTGAGCGTGCCTGGACACCTGTGAGATCCTGCTCCAGGAATGTGGAGGGGGCTGGAGGTTGGGGCTGCACACAGAATCCAGGTGCAGCTCCAGCCTGCAGTGACAGAGCAGTGTCCCTGCCAAAAGGCTGGCTGGAAATTAACTGTGGGGACAGGGATCAGAGCAGGGAGAGCTGGTGAGAATGAGCTTTCACTGAATTCATTATAGCAAAGTCCATTTTCATGGCCAATTTCCACCTCTCCTGTGGCTGGAGGCTGCAAACACCACTCAGGGATTCCCACCAAGCTTCCTGGTGTCCCTACCTCCTCCACACTGCACACTGCATCCTTCCCATCCACTGTGTGTCCAGATGTACAAGGAGTCCTGTTGCTTTTCTGGCTCACTTCTGTTTTCAGCAGTATAGTTTACAGGGATGGTGTATTCATAATGAATTCCATAATTCTGGTCGTGGAATAACAGCACCTGGTTCGGCAGGAAAAGAGAGGCTGTTGCAACACACTGTGCTGGGAGAGCCAACAGGCTGAGATAGCACTGCTGGAAATGCTGGCTCAGGAAAAAAAATCCCTAAAATATAAACACCTTGTGAAAGGCAACCAAATCTTTATCTAAAAAACTTAGATTGCAACAGTACTGGTAAAACAGGGCAACTGCAGGAGCAAGAACTGCTTATGATTTGTGAATATTTAAAGCAGCACAGGGATGTCTAAACCTGGAATTCAAGGCATGACTTCCAGCCTTGTATGTGATCAGAGGGACAATAGCTATTCAAAGAAAAAGACAACAGGAAGCATTAAATCAGCACTTTTCATATACCAACTATTTTAAAAAGCATCTAGAGTTAAACATCTGAAAGAACAAGGTGATGCTTCTCAGAGCAAAAACAACTGCTGCACAAAAAGTCCCTTGTCTCCTGGTGAATGTGGCACTCAAGGCAAGCATGACTATTCCTGCTGACAAGCTGGAGCAGCAGGGTTGTATGTCTCAGAAAACGGTGGATAACCAGCAAAAGCCATATCATACAGCTTCTGGTAACATATATTTTCATCCCTGCACATTGCTAGAGGAAGGTGAAACCTGTTTCCAACAGCAGGCTACTTCCTATGGAACCACTTGTGATGTCTCCAGTGTTATTACTCCAAAATTCCCTGACTGTTGACAAAGGAACAGAGAAAAATGTTTATGTCTTCACCATAGGCAGATGAGAGTACTGGTCCTGTTTTCATTTACATGTTGGACTTCATTTGGCTCTCAGTTTCCCTGGCTTGAGTCAGAACTGATTGGAAGATATCCCACAGAGAACAGGGTCCATGGAATCTGAGTTACCACAGTATTAACAAATGCCATGGAAGTACTACTGTAATGTTCATGCTGTGGCTTTAAACCTATTATACTTATTATCCCATGATCTGAGCAGCATCAAACAGGTGAATTGTGCTGGCTTTTGTCACCTACTGAAACAGGAGCAATGCCTTATCAAATAAAGGCTCTCATAAGTGGGGCAAGCAGCTGCCTGTTTGAAAAAAGACAAATCTGCAAATGCTATTATCCCCCAACAATAATTGTTTCCCCTTCAGATTTGCACAATCATTCCTACTTAACCAATAATCTCACTAAAGCTGTCAGGAGCTTGTTTAACCACACAAATGTGCTGAAAGAAGGGGTCCTGGCAGCCTGTGCTGTGAACACTGAGGGGGCTCCACAAACTCAGCACCATGAGCTGCTCTGCACAGGGCAGAACCCTGGGCAGATGAGCCTCACCCAGAGGATGTGGGGAACAAGGACATGATTTTGCTTCAGCTACAGAGTCACTTCCAGGACTGAATAGCAGGGTTGAAACCAGCCAGCCATCATTACAATTTCAAAGATCAATGTTGGTTTTTTTTTTAAACACAATTCAAACGCCAGGCAGGTAGAGGCAGAGAGCTTGAGCCCTGACCTGGCTTTCCTGAAGTGCAGGAGATATGAATTCCTGTTCTAGAGAACTGATCAGTCAGCCTTCTCTAAAGCCCCCTTCTGCTCTGGGAGTGTTTGGTTGTCCTCTGCTGCACAAGGAGGACTAGAACAGGCCTACTTACACAAACACCAGTTTCTCCAAGAAATACACACACAGCAATGCACTTGGAGACATGCCTCAAGTATTAAAAACCAGCTCCTAAAAAGAAATCCTTATTATCTCAATATGGGTGCGAGACCAGTGAATCTAAAGGCCCATATGAAACCAATTTCATGCAATTTCGTAGCCATATATAATTGGGGGGTGTGTGTATGTGTGTATAATTGGTTTCAAATGCAGGTCACAATGGATTGACTGAAGCTTCTGGCTCTTTGTCAGTCCAGTGTATTCCACCACTGTTTGAACAACAGTTTTCTATTTAGAGGGAACTGGTAACCATCCTGCCTTTCTTGTGTTGAAAGAATGAAACCCACCACCCTGTATCAGGGAAAAGATTTGTATCTGATTCGAAGCAAAGACTTCATGTGTGCTTTGTTTACCACTGGCAGTGATTTAAAACCACATGTTTTTTAATGGTCTGGTAATTTTTACATTCCTCATTTTTAATCATTCCTCTGAAGGAAGGTGAAGAAGGAACATTTCCTCTGCTTATGTCTGCTGAAAGGGCCTGTCTGTATCTGGACAGGACACTCATGGAGAAGTTCAAAATCACTCCTATGTTAGTTACTTACTCCTTAATGAAGGGGAACTGAGCATTTCTTTAAAACCAAAGATCTGCTGATGCTGAGGTTCACAAAATGCCAATATCAGATTTTACTGCAGTGGACCTCAAACACAAGCAATGCCCCGGAAGGTTCCAGGAGCTGCCAAAGGAACTCTGCACAGCATCTTCCCAAACGGTACCTGTGCAACTCCTGTTTCTCACATGAGCTTGGGAAGACCTTGGCAGTACAAGGTACTTTGTCAGAGTCCTGGTTTCAGGAGGGAAGGCTTGTGTTAAGGCCAAAGTCCAGAAGAAGCTGATGTTTCTGATGGTGAAGAGGGTGTAATACACCTGGAATACACCTCCTTTGAGTGGGCACACCCTGGACTACACGGGTGAGCCAGGAAGGTGCTGGTGTGCCCCACCCTGCGCCTCTGACTACTCCAGCTGTAACTTCTTTGAATCCAGCATTACACTGGTCTGTGAGCCTGTAAACTCACCCATCTGTCTGAGAAAGCAAAGACAAAAGCCCTCATGTCCCTGTGCAGCAGATTTTGACACCAAGAAGGTACTGACAAAGTGGATATTACTGTCAGCTTTTTGTGTGTGTGGAAAGTTCAGGCATCTTTGGAGCTTTTCAAACTGCATCAGGAAGTGTTGCACAATGAACACCAGCAAGCCAAAAAAATCAGGTGAGGGAAGGGAGAGAATGCTGATTTTTAGCAGTGCTTACAGATAGTCTTCAGAGAACAAACATGGCAAAAAGTCACAAGGAGAAGAAACAGCACAGAAAAAAATGGAATAGAATAAAAAAAGTTACAGGAAACAATGAAAAAACGAATATACTTTCTATGCAAACCTTGCTACAGAACCTGTAAAGCTTTCTGCAGACTTTTAAACAGGAACAGATATATGAGACAGGAATTATTACAGCTGTCTCACAAATACAAATGTTAAGGTTACACCAGCATTTAGGGACTGGCCCATGGGTCACCCTGTCACCCACCAGTGACAGCTCTGGGACCACAGCCCTGCTCTTCTCACCCCTGTGGACTTCTCATTCATGTTCAGCCACATGGCTGTTCATAAAATACCAAGCTGAGTTAACAGAAGGGCTATGCTGAACATTAGGAAAAAATATCAAAAAACACCTTAAACTACATACAATTGAAAAAACAATACAGAGAAAACAAGAACATTTCTGTGTGTAATTAAGTCATTACTTAGATTCAAATTCACATATATCATCTGTGCATGCTAGATCTGCATCTCTTCTGTAAGAGAACAGTACTTAAACACAGAATACATTCTGGCATAAGATAAAAAGACATTTCAGCAAATATGCTTTTATGTGTGTGATCAGGTATGTCCAAGAAATAATTCAGGTCCTTGGGAACCTACATCCCCTAGAATGGACCCGTCTGTGACACATTACAGGGGTTTCCTGCAGTGGACATGAGCTGAATGAACACTGCCTGTTCTCCCAGGATGGAGCATCACTTTTTGAGTGGGGAGCTGGGCTTCTCCAGCCCCTGCAATGCTGCAAAAGAACACTGTGGTGAGGAAGCAAACAATCAAAATTTAACTTTCAGCTAGGATATAAACCCTTTCTGTTGCATCACTTAAGAAACACAAACAAAGGATATAAAGTTACCATCAAGTGCAGTGGTATTTTAGTTGGTCCTTTGGCAGAGATTTTCTCCCACAGCCCCCTTCGCACGTACCGGACAGTGGTGCCTGCGATCTGAAACTCACCAGGAAGCTCAATTTTCCAGTCGCTGTTAATGGATCTCTTACTGGAATCTTTTAAAGCTGCAATGAATCAAACACCACGGAATGAAATGCGAGCAAATTTGTAATTACAATACAGACTACTGAGCCTTTGTCTCAAGGCACCTCAAGCACAAGATGCAGAAACCTTGTAATGGATGTGAGTTTAAAAGGATAAAACCTCCTCCACTTTTAAAAGGCCCATTGTGATGTTTCTAACTTGGACATATTCTGTACTTCAGTTGATGAAGGTATTTTGAAGAATTAACATAAAATTCATAGATCATTTATCTCTACACTCTCCTTTCAAATGCAACAAGACAAATCTGCAATTTAGTTTCCAAGCAGAATTTTCTTTCAGTTTCCAGATTTTGAGACCACATTTTCCTAAACTCTCCTTGAGGAAAAGATCAATCAAACCTTTGTCGATACACATGTGAAGATTTGCAAATGCAAAATACAACTGATGCTGTGTTTGTGTGTGCTCCATAACTGAACACTGAAAAAATTAACATTCAGCTGTCACAGCTGTAAAGAGAAGTCAAGTCACAAAGCAGAGGCTGGGCAAAGTGTGAACTTGGCCACTCTCTTTTCAGGGTCCAAGTGCTGGACACAAATGCATAAAGTCAGGTGTTGTAGGGTCACACCCATCCTGTGCCTCTGTGCCTCACTAAGGTAAACATGGAAAGCTTAACTTCAGAAGAAAGATGAATATTGAGAAGAAAAGATTCTTGGAAGTTGTGTGTCCTTTCTTCCAGCCTAACTACTTCATCAGGATCACTCATGTCCTTCAAACACTCAAAGACAGCTCCAGCCATAACGGCATCACATTACTGTTGACTCATCAGTGGAGGCTGATTCAGGGATTGATGTGTTTTCTGTGTTAGAATGGAAGCAGAGTTATCCAGATGTTGGTGTGATGCACTGAGGGAAGAGAAAATTGGCAGACCCTGCTGCAGCAGAAAGTGCCAGGCCCCTTTGTGGAGATCCAGTCACTGTGATCAAATCTGCCCTGACAGCAGACAGACAGAATATCCCACATGTTACTGGGCTTCCTTAGTTCAAGGTTAACTGTGTCTTTTGGCTAAGCCTTTAACAAGATGTTTTTTTAACCTCTAGCATCTCATGCCTATTTTATTCTCTTCCAGTAAAGAACTTTGCTCTCACTTAACTGAGTGTGTTGCAAGTCAATAGGAAATCTCCTATTGTCATCCCTTTGGACCAAGCCTCCATTGCCAGCAAACCCTCCTGGGTGTGCTTAGGATATATATATATATATATGTATATATATGTATTTATAATTTGTGATGTCTGAACTCTGGGGGAATCTGGAGCAAGTGGAGGTCACAGTGTTCTCTGCATCTACACTGGGAATCCTGGAAAAAGGTGGATATCTGTCCTGCTGCACACAACCTTCCTGACAGCTCTCCAAGTCCCATCAGAGGCTCCAAAATCAGGGTGAAGAGGAACTGAAGTGGGAGAGTATTTTTTCTGAGGAAAGTTTCCCCTGGCACACAGCTCAGGGGTAAGATGGTGCCCTGGCACTTGCATGCTGCAGCAATGTGTCTCTCCCTGTGGCTCACTTCTCTTGCTGCTTTGTTCCTCAGTTTACAAAGTACCTTCTGCAAGCTGCAGACACAATTCTGAAGCAGGATTGCTTTCCTCTGCCAAGACCTAGTGGCTTCCAGGCAGATCAAAGCTGTGGGTGAGATAAAACTATCTCCAAGCAGCATGGCTGACTAGGAAAGATAGCCCAGCATGTGCTCCAAACTGTCTAAGAGGTTGAGTGACTTAAGTCATGCTTTGGTTCCAGCTCACCCTCAAAGGGAGATAATTTGCTGATGAAAACCAATGTTTCATCTTTGTGAACCTCTTTTCTGGGCAGGGTTTGATTTTGATTGCTGCAGGCACTGCTCCCTTAGTGGCTGAGGAGATGGAGAGTTTGGAAACAGACCTGTTCCCAAAGGTGCTCCTCGAGGATTGCAGGAATTGCACTGGGGACTGAGCAGAGCACTTAAGCTAAAGTATTTTCATTGCTGTTTGCCTGCATTACCCCATCAGCAAGATCACTGCTGCAGCTACAAAACCTTCCATGTCTCAGACACAGGGAACTCCAATGGCTTTTGTCACACACAACCACTGGCTGTGTGCCCAGCCCCAGAGGTGACAGAACTAAATTCAAACTCGTACAGTAGAAGAGCAGGAGGAATAGGAACCCCAGCAACAACCTGTAACTTCTGTTTTTCTTGTTGGCTGGAAGGCAGGAACTGACCAATCAACTTCTAAACCTGGCATCTAGTCAGATCTTTATTTCCACCTTGGGTCTCTCCAGCTTGCTTCCCAGCCTGTGGACACAAACTGCCCAGGCATTTCCTGTTCAAGGTGGTTTTTGAGAGTTACAGCCAGCCAAGGCAGCCAGCGTGGGCTGCCTGTAGGTGGAGGGAAATTCTTCAGGCACTGCTCCCAGCACATGGAATAATGATTCCAAATTATGCTGGGCTTCTTTCCAGAATGTTGTACCTGGTTCTGAGTAGAAATAGGACCTGATTGGACTCAGCTTTGTCAGTGCTATTGAACTAGAAAATCCTTCCACACTCAGATCTGAATTTAAGAGTGATTGGGACATTTTTCTTGGTCATCTTTATTGCCCTATGGAACCCCCCTGCTGCTATTCTTCATCTCAGCTCAGCAAGGCACTGGGTATCTTTTCTTCGGGTCGAGTGTTCCTTGAAAGAGAAAACCCTGGAAAGCTTAGAGAGGTTCTCCTGGCTCCTGACCATGAACCAAAGAGCTGAAAGCACTAAAAGCTTTAAAAGAGCCAGATTTTTATCTATCTTTATGTGATGCAAACAGGGCCAGCTCCTGCTCTCAAAAATACAATCCTAATCTTCACCACCCAGTGGGGAACCATCTGCTTCAGTCAAGGTTATGTTGTCCCAGGGAAGGGGAGTTTCTAACTCATGTAAGACTCTCAGTGCTCTGCTATCTGCCAAAGCCCAAATACCCTGTGCAAACCCCACCAAGACAAACAAAAAGGCTGGTTTCCAGAAGGCAGAGCACTTGCAAAACCCAAAGAAACACTGGCTCCCATTATTCCACCAGGCTTTGCTATGTCAAACATCTCATGTGTAGGCGGGATCCTCTGGCTAAAGCATTATGGAAATAGGAGCAGTGGTGATATTCCTTCCTACCAAGAAGTGGCACAAATGCCAATGGTTTTGATCAAAGGGCAACTGAATGACATAATCTGCCCTCCTTTTTTCCTCTGGATCTGGAGTGAAAGAGAACAAAAGCATCTTTCCCAGTGATATTGCCAACTGCAGCAACATCTCAAGACAGAAAATCAGTAGCACTAGAGCTGAAACCCTGACACGGCCACCATGCAAACGTTTTCAGCAGCATCCGATATTCCAGTGCTGGATATTAACATCTCCTTTTGGCTGGAGATGAAGAATTATAATCAAAAGATGTGGAAATCAGAGACCAAGGTCTGAGCTTTGTTCTGACTCCCTGAATAGCCATGAGCAAGTTGAAACACCTCAGTTTCCTCTTCAGAAACAAGAGAGTGACAAGTTCTGCAATCCTCTCAGAGTTCCTTCCTCTCTGGAAGCAATTCCATGGCCATGCAGCTCTGGGACCATGTTGGGGGTTTTTTGGATCTTGGGCAATTTTCTCTAAAGCCTCTGCTCTGCCACTGGCTTCCTGTATAAATTCAGGGCTAATGGAGCATTTCTGTGACCTGGACTCCCTAGAAGTAGATGGGGATAAAACCCTTTATCTAATATCTAGTAATGACAGAGAAGGAAATGCCTCAAACATTGCAGAGAAGAGGCAGAAGACCAGACTGACAGATCCTCAGTGTAACTGACTGGCTGCACTTTACAAATGCCATTCTGACCTTTAATTTATGCAATGAGTAACTGAACAACAAATTCATTGACAGACTCTGCCCTACAACAACCTCACATGCAAATCTTACCCATCAGCCATGTCTAAACCTTCTTTTCCCAATAGGAAAAGGAGGAGAGATGCCTGTTCCCCTCTAAAGGAATGCAGAAGTAGAAATGACAAGAGGATTAAACAAATTTTTTTGCCTGATAAAATAGAGGCAAGTGGACTAGAGGCTGCAGCCAAGCCCATCTCAGAATGCAGGATCAGGTCTTGGGTACAGCATCCAGTGAAAATGTGCTGCTGTAGGAAATGGCAGCAGGTTACTGAAGGATATCAGCTGCCCTGTCCTGTCTCTGCTTCAGACTGAGCTGGGCGCCTTCCTATCAGTACCTCTGCCATTCCCCTCTCTAAACACACTGTTCTCTTCCCCACTCCCTCCTGAAGTGCTGTGTGCTCCTGGCAGCCCTGTGCAAACCACTGCCAAGTTCTGCTCAGGAACTCTTCTGTCTGTATATAAAAGTACTCTCTGGTCCTTCCAGGTTGCACAGGGCCTGTAAGTGTCACATACTATCACATCACAAACATCATGATACCAAGCCACAAAAGCAGACATTGCAGCAAGACTCAATTCACCAGCCCCTCCCTGGCAGCAACAAACCTTACAGGTCCCTTAGAGAAGGGTCATTTTTAAAAGAAAACAGCTGAATTTTAATAAAAACATTTTTTCTTTTGTCTTTTTACCCAGAAAGCTGTGAGCAGGTTTGTCCTCAACCACTCTGATCCGCCGGGCACCCGCAGGGATCACAGCGGCTTCGATGTAACCTAGAGCAACAAAAAAGGGCTGAATAAAGGCAGGGCCAGCCAGGAGCAGCCATCCCACATCTCCCTGAGAAAAACTCAACTCCAGGCTGGGGACTGAGTGAGAAACACTCCAAATGAGACCCCTGTGCTGGCAGCCAGTTGTCACTGTCCAGTTGTCACTGCTGTCACAGGCGTAGTCATGACTAACATTTCAGCAGAAATGCATGAGTGCTGCTCAGCTGCGACTTCAGCCTTGTTAATTAGCTCTAATTAGATCTGCACCCTTCGAATCACCCTGGTTTTCCTGCAGTACTGGCAGGGATGCACGAGAACACTGCAAAGTGTGACTGTCAGGAGCAACACTGCACAGAACAGACATGTGAAATGATGTTTCCAAAAGATGCTCCTGCTTTGTCTTCCCTGTCAAGGCCGTGGTGTCAGAAAGGATTCACTTCTACAAAACGTTTTGATGATGCTAAAACTGAACAGAGGGAATTAGCGGAAAAAATGAGGGGAAAAGTTTGTTTTTATTTACATTTCAGCTCTGTACAAAAATTCTGGAGGAGATAATGATCTCCTTGCACTGGGCTGCTGAAAATTCAACAGCTCAGATTTAACGCAATAACAGAGCTGGAAGTTTCTCCAGGACTGACCACTGGCCAACTCTAAACAATTTTTCAAAGACCAATTTTGACTTACAGAATACAGTAGGAATAAGCAGGAACTACAAGGAAATGCAGCCTCTTTTCCCCCACTATGGAGACATGTGGAGTTACAGACTTGCTCCATGGGGTGGAAGCGGTGCCTTTAAATAATAAAGCAGAGGAACAGCAGGGCCCATTTCAAAGAGCCAGGCAGAGTTTTTCCACTGGCTTCAATGGACTTTGAATCAGGCCTCTGTAGATGACACTAATCTCATCACAACCATGACTTGATTCCTTCTAATTGGCCACCCAGTTTACTTTGCAGTATATCACTTGGCACCTTTTTGGGGTTATTGCTGTCCTCTTTCTTTTAGATGTTAAGCAGCTTATCCTGTATGTTCCCTCATCCACTTTTCTTGCTTTAAATGGCTCTGTGAAGCTGTTGTGTGTCAGTGATGCCTTTATGGGAATTGTGGGCTGTCTTGAGCAATGGGCTGGAGAAGTGCTGGCACAGGGAGCAGCGATTCCTTTAGCACTTAGCAGTGTTCAGGGAGCTATTTTAGGGATAAAAGTGTAGCCCTGCTTTTGCTGTGCTGATACAGGGAGGACTCCAAGGAGTATGGTGACAGTCTCTTGCACCTCAGGACTAAGTGATTCTCCTTCCATTGTGACATGGAGTGAGACAGATTTGGGGTCTCAGATGGTGGATTCATTTCCTGAATATTTATTTCATGAGTAAAGCTTGAGTTCTTGGCTTTCATCAGGTGCAGAAGGTGGGCAGCTGACTTGGGCCAGACAGTCTCTCTCTTTCCCTGATTTGTTGTATCTGAATGACACTTTCATCTCACCCTTTAGCTCAATTCTCTTTGCACTTTTTATTCTTCAATTACTTCTCCCTTACTCAGGATATGTCAGAAGTGGTCACTCATCCCTTGCAGGAAAACCAGAGAGAGGGGCAGCAGAGCTCAGACCTTGTCTGTGCACAGAAGCCAGAGCAGAGGCTCTCCCAGCTGCTGTTCCAGCCTGGGTTTCACCAGGAAAAATCATTACTTCCAGGGTCAATTTTACAAAGGCAATACGGAAATCTGTTATGAAATCAGAGCAAACAGATGTTGGGCTTTATCCTAGACATTGCCAGGAGTTGGTTTTTCATCAGCTGAGATACCAAATCACAGTCAATACAGTCAGACATCAAATATCCTCACTGCATCCCATGCAGCTGCATGTAAACCCAACCAACAGCTACTCAAGACATGAACACACAGCAAAAGTGTGACCAGTGACAGTCTGTCACAAGGAAATAGCTCCTGATACACCCTGAACACCCCTGTTAGGAAGCCAGTTTGGAACATGCCCAAGTTTCAGGTAATTTAAAGTACCTACTAGGGGACTATTTACTTATTTAGTTTTTAAACCAGATACAAATGCCCAGAGCTAAATCATGCTGGGGTTGGAGACAAAGTTACTCTGAATTTAGTGGAAGGCAGTCACTAAGTTCAGTGAACTCTGGGTCTGTCCCCTGACCCAGCAGCAGCCAGGAGTGTGTCACCTGCTTTAGAGGTGAGCAAGCTCTGGAGCTGTGCTGGAGGCTCAGCTCAAGCCATTAAACACACTCATTTCATCACTGTGCCATGAGAGAAACACCACGTGGAAAGGTGATTTTTATGTTACATTTTACAATAGTCAAGTGTGAGCTATTAATAGAGTATTAGTTCTGGAGACTGTTTGGTTTGGTCTCACACCAGATTTTTTCTCATTGTGTAATTTCTAATCCTGATTGGTGGCTTTGGGGGGCTGCACTCACAGCTCCTGAATAAAAAGAAACACACTGTGTTATCTCACTGTGCCACAAACCTGACTGCTGACCTTCACTCTCCCGTTAGAGAATTCCCAAATGCTTTGCAGGGGTTTGGATCTGGCCTGTCCTCTCAGAGGTGAAGCAGAACCCTTGGGCATGTCCCACCAGGAGCACCTGGACACTCATTCATTACCTCCAGCAATGTTGGGTGAGTTAGTGGTCGAATTCTGCTGCAAACAGACTGGATATCACTCATGCATATTTGCCACAGGTACAAACTTGGATCATCTCCACCACTCCACTCTGGTCCTCAGAGCTGGTGGGAGGCTTGTGGTCACAGATTCCTGATCTTTGACTGCACCAGGAAACACCTCCAGTGTTTTCCAGGCACATTTTATTAAGCAAACCGTAACTGCAGATTGCCAGAAAGATTATCAAGTGTCAGCTGGAATGACCAAAAAAAGTCTCAGAGTTGGCAGTCAAGGACTCTCAAAGCTCTGTTAGGTCTAAGGATAATTGTCTGCAAGGCCAGGGTTTGCAAGGCTGGGCTTAAAGTTCATCTTTAAATGAGGAACTGGTTAAAGACTGATGAGATTTGGCAACTATCAGGCAGTATTTTTAGTAATTTCACCCATAAATCAGCGTGTTAAGATGAAGCTTTGAAAATACAACAGGAGAACTTCATTATTTGATAATTTATAGCGCTGCATGCACTATACTCCACCTTGGGAACAGTTACTTTGGCACACACCAATCTTTCTGGATAATCTGCATTACATCAGTGTCTCAGGAATGTAAGACTGTGATTGAAGCAAATCCTAGATACAAATTTTATGGTATAACTTGTATTAGGAGAGACACCAGAACAAAGAGGTGGCTTTGTCATCAAGGAGATTAATATGTGAACAGTGGCTACTGTATCTTCATTTAAATGCTGGAGAGATTTGCAAGAGGAAGGCAGCCCACACAGAAAAATCCATTGTTAGCCATTGTTATTACTCCCAGAAAGAACAGAAAGTTTAGTGTGAACTTCAGAATGCCACTGATCTACTGCAAAACTCTTCTGGTTCACACTGCAGTGAAAGACGGACTCAGAGGTGAAGGACAAATGATCCCATGGCTGAAAGTAGCAACCCCTGGGCACTGCACCTTCCTATCTTATCCCTGTACACACCAAAATCAGGTGTGAGAAGGTCAACAGTGCCCAGCCCATTACCAAACCTCCCAAAAGTGCTTTGAACAAAGATCTTGGGGTAGAAGCCCAGGAGATCAGGCTGTCCTGCCCACCTGCCAGCCAAGGCCAGCAAAGCTCCCATGGTATTTCAGGGATAGGCACCAGCTGATACTCCATCTCCTTCCCACCTTGCAGCTTTTGCTGATTGCTGCTTGTTGCAGTGGAGTGCAAATTATGTGTCTGTTTCCTGAATAGCTGTGATAATTCTCCTTTGCTTTTAGCTTGAGAATAAATCCTGCATTGGCACCAGTCCACTTCCAGCCATGGGATAGCTCAGTTGTAAGAAAATCATTTCTCTGAAGAGCCATGGATAAATTTCAAAGCCTCCTACTATTGCTGCAAAGTTGGTAACTGGGATTTCTAACTTGCATGTTCTGATGAAACCCCCATAAGAGATCTCTGAGTTAAAGATTAGGTAGAGTTCTATTTTCTTGTAATTTACATGTGTACCCTATTGATAAAAAAAGATATTTTTGTGTTGGCTAAAGATGCTCCCAGCCAGCACGACAGCACTACTGTTCAAAATTCTTTTAGTAAGTGCTGGACAAACAGCATATGCAATAAAACCTCTACTTTTCTACCATCTTAAAAAAAAAAAAATTCCTAGCAAAGGTGTACTTTTCCTTTCCCAAAATGACAGTTACAACAATAAGGCATATCTCACCTTATTAGATTCTGCCATTAAAAAAGAAAATCCAAACATCTGTGGTCATTCTTTTGAATTATTACCATAAATTCTTTTGAATCACAATAATAAATGAAAATCTTGATGTGGTTGAGAAAAATCAGGAGAGACAGATCCAGGTCTCTGAGCATTACAGGCACAACCTTGGGGAAGTTGTCAGTGATAAATCAGCTCCCAACCGACAGGAGTCCAAGAGCTGTCCTTCATTTCTAGGTCCCCTTTACAGTGGCAGAGTGACAGAGCTGGACTTCAGAACAACTCTGTGTTTGGTTTTGAAAAATTATTTTGTAGAAATAGGTACAAGGCATGCTGCCAGTCGAAAGGAAACCTCAGTCTAAACAGTGCATTCAGCTGGCTACTGAAGACAGCCAGCTGCACACAAGTGTATGAGATGTTTAGCATCATAAATTAAGGCTTTTGACCTCCTCTCCAGCAGAAAAATGGGGTCCATTTCCAGTTGGATCACCCTGGATCACAGGTGCTAGGAGCTGAACTGCTGGATCTCCTACAAGGCACTTTGAATGTTCCACCATCTTTCCCACCAGGGTGGCAGAACCTCTGTGATATTAAAGCTGGGGAAAAAAAGAAATAGACCTGGTTCTTTTTGCTTGTGCATGAAAATTTGGCTTCCTTTCCACAGATATGTTCCCTAAAAGGAAAGGATCTGCATTGTATCTCTGACAAGGCAAGTGAAACAGTAAAAGGACTTGAAGTTTATCCATGGCTTTTGATACCAAATTTCCCCATCTAATCCGACAAAATGAAGATAAAGGACCAACACCAAAGGATTTCACCGACACCCACTGACACTGCAAACAGCATTCAAGTATCTTACACGAGAAACACTTGGGAACAGCCTTTGCCTTTGCCATCACACATGTGGAAACCTTCTTACAATGACTATTGGTTACTAAGAAACAGAAAGGAGTTGGCAGGGGTTTAGTTCAGTTCACAGGGCTCCACAACATCATTTGCAATCACAGGACACAGAGGGACCAATCCTGCAAGCAGAGGAGTCCTATGGGCAGAGCCAAGGCTCAAGGCTGCAGCTGCAATTCCCCAAACAGATACCACTCCAAAACAATCAATGTATTGATGTTTGAAGTCTATTCTCTATGGAATAATAAATCAGCACACTGGACTCGGGGTCTTGGCCTTGACTTGGAATGCAGCCAGGTGGTGGGGATTTGCCACTGAACTGTGCCATCATTTACACACCCAAACCTTGAAGTTGTTATCATCAGAATATTGTGGATCTTTCTTTGCTCCAACTTCCATCAAATTTTTGCACATTTTTGCCTAAATGTAAATTTAAAATAAAAAGCTTTTTTCCCTTGAGTAATGCCACGTTCACTTGTGATACCCAGACCTGGAGCTTTGCTTACTGCATGAAATTCAGTGGGTTCACCTGAGGACCTGAATCTGCAAAACAGCATGTGAGCAGAAATGGATGGAAGTACACATAAAATGTAATTGACTTTCAAAATTAAATTAAAAATAAAACAAAACACCTAAAAAATGGTTATGAGGTTCTACTGGTAAAAACAATTATCTTCTAGATTACGTGAGATGGCTAAAGGTGGAAACATTGCACTGACAAAGCAACACTTTGACAGGTTTGTGTGTCTGAGATGATCAGCAGAGAATCTGAATGCTTGAACACTGCCCATGAGTCATCAGGAATTCTTTCTGATTAGGTTCCAGGGCACTGGGGGTGAAAACCTCCTGCAGAGTCCTGGCAGCCAGTTAAGGCTGAAGCTGCTCTGCTCCTACAGCCTTGTAAAGTCACCACCTCAAGCAGGCTGTGTAGCAGGAAACGGGTGCAACCTCCTGGCAGTGACCCAGAAATTTTGTATTTATCTGCACAAGATGTTTTGTAGACTCATTGGAAAAAAGATAGCTACTCTTCAGCAGCATGTAAGAAATCCATGAAAGCTGTATAAGCTTCTACAGAGATGGGGAATAGATCAGGTTTTTTCAATGGAAATGAGAAACTTTTCCCACCACTTGCATCAAATGCAAAAGGCTTGGTGTAAGTGGGTGGAAAACAATTGGGACAAAAGAGTCAAAGGCACTAATGCAGGAAACCATTCAACAGGCTGGCCAAGCACACAGATGTACTCCAGAGAGATGTGGTGCAGGTGGGAAATCTACCTGCATCTCACAGGAGGTGACAGATTCCAGCTGGCCCCACAGGTGAGGAGGAGGAGGTGCAGAGGAAGAGGTCAGTGAACAAAATCAGAGCCTCAGACTTCAGAGCTGAGACCTGGATTAAAGGGAGCTGCTAAGCACTGCTGCTGCTTTAGCCACTAAACTGAAATGTGTGCTTAGAGGGGATTTTCATGTGCTTTGTGGAACTCAGCCCTGGAGCAGCACGTTGAATGTATTTCTCCATACAGAAATGCCAGTTCTGTATTCACTGAATGGGAAATAATTTTTTTTCTGGACATTGGTTTCCTCTAGGAGCAGCTTCCAAGTTCTGGACATGGCTTTCCCTCCCTTTGGCTAATAAGGATGTGTGATAACAGGGTTCTCAGAAGTGTAGTACAGAAAGCCTGGAACAAAGGCTAATTCAAACACCAAGCTGTACATACATTAATGTTTAACAAGAAAGGGAAAAGTCTTATATCCTATACTGGATATTTTTGCTGGCAGGGAATCAGTAAAAATATTCAGAGGGGAGTGCACTGCTCTTTCCTTTAGCTGAGATATTCTGATTATAACATGAATCATCTACAACATGCAACATGCATCATTCTGAGACCTCAAAGATGGTGCTGAAATCCAACTTCCCTCCCACTGGGAAAGATTCTGTGATTTTGTCTCCTATTTAAAATCACCAGCATCAGTAGCACTCAGAATGAGAAATACAACTTCAGCCTGAATTTCAGGCAGAGGCAGTGGCTGGTGTCTGGGTGACCGAGTAAGAAGCAGATGGGATCACACCTGAAGTGAGTTGGGGTTTGTTTTATGCTCCTTAGGAGCTCCCTAGAGCTGTTTTGGCTAGGTGACCCCAGTGCTATCCAAGAGGAAGAGCTGTTACTGCTGCCCCAACTCTCCTCCAGCAAGCAGGAGAACCAGACCGAGTGCTACTCACCCATGCCCTTGGTGTGGTTGAAGTCTCCTTTCACCACCTTGCAGGTTTTCCCATCTCCACTGCAGATCCCACAGCGATCCTCTTTGGCAGCTGAGCCAATGATCCCATCACAGCCAATTTTCTAATGACAACAACCAGAGACCCCCATTACTTTGTTGGCAAGGTCAGAGCATCTCTAAACAATGAGGTCAAGACTAAGGTTGACATCTGACTGAAAACCTGAATGGGGAGAAAACATTCAACTCTTAATTAAACTTTTGAAATATCTGAAAAAAGACCTCATTAATCAGATGGCTCAAGATAGCTGAAATGAAAGAGTAGTTCAGTGGAAGCAGGTCAGTTCCATATCTGGCCAATTTCTACCACAAGACTGCCTATGCAATTATGAAATTTTCCACATGCTTGCACTGTATTAAGAGTCAAGATTCAGTTGAAAAATAAATTACAGAATCTAACAGTTTCACCTAAAGCTTCATTATAAATGGTGTTCTCATAATTTTCTATACATACCTATTTTTTTTCCAATGAAACCTACAGTTCTGCTTCCACACAAGGGAAGAGTCACAATATTCTTCCTGTAGCTATGGGAATTATCACCATAATCTTCGTTATTCACAAAGCATTCATGGGTTATGATGGTGAACATTCCACTCTTGTAGATCTTGAGGCTGACAACATTGTCATTAATCTATGTAAATGAATCTTGTATTCTGTCCATGCAAGACCCTTAAATTGATCAGCAATTCACTCTTAAAACATAAACTTCTACTGAAAAAAGCCTTGTCATTATGCAAGTTATTAGTAGAGATTGCACTATTAAAAATTACTTTAAGATTTATTCTGCATAGATAAACAGTTTCTTGGCAAATGAGTAGCAGGACTGTCACTAGTAAGACTTATTTGACTGAGGCTATTGGGTCTCTCCCTTCTTTGCCTTCCTGTGATGAAGCCAGAGGAAAGTTGGAGAGATATCTTAGGGAACAATCAAAACAACAAACATTTTGAAAAATAGGGTAAGCAGGGAAATATTAAGAGAACTCGGGCTGTTTATCTGAGCCTGGCTGTGTGTAAGCAATTCAATTTGGATCAGAATTCCAACATTCCCCTTGTTTCAGAAGACCCTGGCCACTGCCTCAGTCCAGATGTATTTCAGGGATCAAAGATTGCCAGTGTTCCACTGTGTGCTGATGCAGAGCTTGTCTGGGTAGATCATTAGGGACAGATATGCTGAGAGAGGGTGATCATCCTGAACACATACCAGGGAAATGCTGCTCATTAACTGGCACAGCACCTACATTGCTGCACAGGAACAGCAGGAAAAAACTGTATAAATGCATAAATGGGAGTTAAAAGAAGGAGGAAGATGATCGTGGATTTTCTGGCAGTTGCAATTCTCAAGCCTGAACTTCACGCCCATGTCCAACAAATAATTTTGGGATATTGAACGTGATTCTGCCCCCAGAACAGAAGGATGTCCCAGCAGTTCTCCTTCCAGGAAAATCAGGATGATTTATTAATGGGGTTGCTGAAAGGCAGCTGGAAATGAACGCCTGCCTGCCACCCTGCTGAGATACTGGAAAGGCTGTGTTTAATTTAAGGCTCTGGTGCTATCTTTTATTGTGCTGCATTGTTATTAGCACTATGTGAGCACACAGATGAATAAAGGGAACATAATGAGTGTTGAACCACACTTATTCCCAGAGCTACATGAGGAGTCTGTAGGACTCTAACGGAGGCAGGGAAAGAATGGGGAGTTGGCAATCACATGCTTTGTATTTACACTGGAGCTTCCCAGATAATGGAAACCAGTGGGAGCCAGCAAAGCTTGAGAAGGCTGGGTCCCCTCATCTGAGACTGGGGTTCAAGACAAGACCTTTCCTCACACCTTTACTTGCTCACTGACACCCTTCCACTTGAGAGGCCCTTGAGAGGCATGGAGAGAACCCACTGAATACACAAATGTAACTCCCAATACCTTTGCTGGTTTTTACCTTTCATCTTCACCCTGTTCCCTGTGAGTGAAGGAACTGGGAATGGCCCTTGCACCCTCCTCTTCAATGGCACCATTGCTCCCATTCACAGGGCAAACTTTTCCCTCAATCCAGGCCCTGAGACTTAAGGCCTCCATCACGTTTGGGCCAGGAAATGGCTTCTTACAAAGGAATATCTCTAAGAGAATAAAACACTTTTTTCCATGGCTTCAAGATGAAAACTGGTGCATTCTTGCTACTTTATGGGGGAAAAATACCTTGGAAGCACTTTAGTGTTGTCTACATAAACATTAGAGCCTGTTCCCCTCTCCCCAAGTCTTCCAATCATTTCCAAACTGAAAGTGCATTTAGTAAGAGTAAATTTAATAACGGTACATAAGGAAACAGCTTTGGGTAAGATTTGACAGTGGATCCTAAAAGCTGCAAAGTCATTTAGAAACACATTGCAGTGACCACCTTGGTCACTCTGATCCTTTGAGAACTCTCCACATGGAAAATACTCTTAAAACCACCACCATGGCCACTCTTAAAACAAGTGGATCAGTGGATCAAAGGGGAAGAGACAGGACTGGAAGGGCAGAACACAGTGGCTGGGTGTGAGAGCCCCTGAGACTCCAGCACTGGCAGTGTGTACATCAGCAGTTTCCCACTGACAACATGCTCTGTGTATAACACTGCCCATCCTTTAACTACAGAGCTGTCCTCAGCCTGCAGAAAGCTTTCCACAATGTGAAGGCTTAATTAACCACATGCAAAGGGAAAATTCCAAGTTTCACTGCTCAAAAGTCAAGTTTTCACAGTGCAGAAAGAATCCCTTAAAACCTAAATAGTTCAAGGGAGTTGTTTGATCTTTGCCATCTCTCACTTGCTTTGTGTTACTTCCTGTCCACTCCAACCAATCAAGGTAAGGGGATTAATTAAATTAAGAAGCAGAAAGGGAAAGCTTTACATTCTGAAGAAAGAAAGACCCTGTAAATAACAATAACATCCTGTGTGTTTTCTGACCCAAGAGTTATTTTGCAGATGAGCAGACTGAGCCCATGGACCAGCCCATCCAGCAATTGCTGGATACTTTCAGTTCCATCAGTTTTGAATGGACTGGTGAGAAGGGAAGCAGCTTTAAAACATGGGAATGCTGGCAAGAAACATGAAAATAAGTCTTTTAGGGCTTCAAGTCCTCAGCATGGACAGTCAGAAATGTGTCCACAGGTTTCTTGAAGCTCTTCCACCCAGGCAGCCTCCTGCTCTGACACCACATTTTGGAACTAGACACCAACCTTTAAATTGGCAGGTAACTGCATGTTTGCTGAGCCAAAGGCCTGAAATTAATTCTCTTTAAGCTGATATCTCCATCCACCCTTCCTTCTCTCCCTCCCCCTTCTCATTTTTATAATTAAACATCTGAAAGTACTGCTTGTTGGGTGGTATTTCCAGCTTCAGTCATAGCTGGCTCCAGCATAGGAAAACTCTTCTCTTTTGAATACATATCACTTGGATTCTTCTGTGTGAACTATTCTCTGTATTGCTTGGGTATTTATTAATGATATTTTTATTTGTATTTTCAATGGCTGTGAAAGAGCTCAATTGATACAGCTTGTGAGGGTATGTTTTGCTACATAAACACAATTATTTTTGTTATATACACCCACTCTGTGCAAGAAATGACATTGTAGGCTCACAAAACTGTAATGCTTCCCATATGCTGAACTAACTGGCTGTCTCAATGGATCAAATATAAATATTGATGCAACATGTGCCACTTTACAAATTAATCATGTACAGAGCAGGCTGGTTATGACAGATTCATCTACACTGCCAATTCCTTCTGTCCATAATATCCAATGCCATTGATACCTCCGGGGATGGACCACATGAAACAGGAATGTACAGATGTGAGCAAGTGACATACAGATCTGAGGGGAAGAGAATTCTTATTTCATTGTTTTAAACACATCTGCCCCTGTGGAGGGTTGTGGGGGCTGTCAGGGCTGGGTGAGGTGAATCTGGGTCCCTGATCAAGCAGTTCCTCTCTGAGTTACTCCAATTTCTGTTCCACAACAAGTTTTGTGCTAGGGGTTGGAGTCCCTGTAGGAATTAGTTCAGCAAATATCCTCCTGTCATTTCCCAAGCCTTCAGATTTTGTCTGAATCAGAGCAGCTCTGCTGGATCAGGAGTTAGACACATCCTATTTTAAATCAGCATTATCTCTTCTGCATTAGATCTGCAATGTCATCTGCCATTGACTTTGTGCTTAGATCCCTCAGCAGCTCATGGGGGTGTTAGACACAATAATTTATGATTTTTCACACTTAGATATTGAAGGCTATGTGTCAAAACCTCTGTGTTCATGAGAGAACATGCAAATAATGCAAAGCTCTTTCCCATCCCAGGAACTCCTTTGCTTCTGTTCTATTACATGCTTTCCATGGGACAACATGGAAGAAAAACTGGGGGAAATAGCATGGGTTTTTTGTTCTTCATACCCCACACCCCAAGTACACCACAAACTAGTAGGATATCGACAAAGACTTGGTTTTGTCACTATGCCTTACTCACCAAATCCCTGATACTCTTTTAAACCTCAGATTACATTGCTACAGATCCAGACATGAAAAAAAACAAAAAGGCAATTATACAACAGGTTTCTGTAGTTCAGACAATCCTTCTGGATTTTGTGCACATGCACTAAATAATTTATCAAAGTTCAGTGCTAAGCCAAGTTGTTGTATGGAGACAAGCTACCCAGTCTGGAACATCTTGTACCACAGTTTGTAATGCAGGAATATGAATAATACATGGAAAATACTCAAGTGAGGAGACAAAGCCAGAACTCCAGGCATCAATCAAATGCAAAAAGTGGGTACTAAGTATGTAAAAAGCTGTTTTCCAGAAGCAGGTCCAGTAGACAACTTCAATTTCTCCTCTGCCACCTGTGGCACTCTCCTGACACTCTGCCTGTCCAGTTTACAGAAGCTGTTTTTGATAATCTGTCCATTTTCCAATTTGTGCTCCCCTTTCATAGAGTGTGACAATCGCTTTCAGAAGAAAATAGTTCTGTAACAATTCTGTTGTGCCAGGACAGCCTAATATGTGGCTTATTCTCATTAAACACACTGTGGATTCACCAGCCAGTTGAAAGGAGGTGTGATATGACAAAACATTCATGAGAAAACTGCAGATAGAGCCAAAACATCTTCACCTCTTAAATTGTTAAATCCCAGCAAAGACTGCCCTTGATCTCTAGCCCAGTTCTTGCTATACAGGAGGTCTCTCTTTTCACAGAGACCTTAAATTACATCCTGAAGCACAATCTGTAGTCCCCACTGGAAAGTTCTCATGCTGTCATGAGGCTCAGACTAATCCTCCTTTGAGAAAAGCCAGCACAAGGTCATGTGCATCATACCAGTCAGCTGAGCAGCTTGTCTTCTCCTCACCCCTCTGCTCTGTGACATCTGACACTTTTTTTAGCTCCACTTCTGCCAGCAGTTTTGAATTAACCTCAGCAGCACAGAGCAAAACAGTGTAAGGGGTTAGAAAGGGCCCTGTTCTCATAAGTGTTCTCTCATCAAACACACACCCCACAGGCCTAGGGAAGAACAAATCCCTCAGGAGAATCCTCTCCCTGAAAGCCATTTGTCACTTGAAGGGAAATGGGAGGAGATGAACCCAGTGTGAAGTGCAGGTTGCAGTGCTCTACCCACCTTCCCCATGGCTGCAGTGCCCATGACAGGGAAAGCAAATTGCTGCAAAGCCTAAATGAGCACTCACCCTCCTCCTCCAACACATCAGGCTGCTCTTGTTCTCCAGCCTGCTACAGATTTTCTGTCTCTGAAAAATCTCTGGGGAAAATAAATTCTCCTTGCTAGAAGACCATGTGCATTTTGAGGAGGAAAGGTCAAAGACCTACACATGCTTTGAACAGGGGATCCAGTTTGCTCCGAGGATGGTAAGAAATGGTGCATTTGAAATGTTCAGCCTCAAAACCAATTCAAATAAACAAGGAAAAAATAAATTAGGACCTTATGATTCATCTCAAAAACAAGGAGTAAAGCTAGAAAAAGTCTAGGTGATTTAGGAACCCCCATGCTAAATTTAGGGCTGACTTTGCTCTTTGGTGCTTCTATGCATGATCAAAGTAATAACCAAGTTTACTCACTCCAGCTGCCTTCAGGTGTAAGGGATAAATAGAGAGATGCTGCTGCTTTTGATGATTTTGTTTCAGGGATAGTGAGGCTGACAGCAAAGGCTTCATTGACACCTTTTAGATTGGAGTTCAGCTTTAAAGAGAAACTGTAGTAACTTCACAAAGTAAAACTGAAGGAAAATTCTCTTAGTGCCCAAAGGTATTTGGGGCATTTTGAGGCTTCAGAGAATCTGTTCCTGCTTTCCTTCTCAAAACCCTCCTCTCCTTGCAACAGTTTTTTCACTACATTCATTCATCATCCAAGAACGATTCACAAGCTGCATTTAGGAGCATCTAGGAAGGGAGAAGATCTATTACATTTCCTGGGCTAGATGTTCACAGGCAATGGTTACTGCTAATTTGTCTGTTGCACTGACAATGTGTCATTCCTGCCTTTAAGAGCCTCTAACTAGAAGGATTACATAAGAAAATAAATAACAGTAATACCACCCTCTGATTTCAGCACTTATTCTCTTCTCCAGACCCCCTGCAATGCTTATTGCCAGGCTTTGTCTATGCTGAGTAAAGAAACAAGGAAAGCAGTAATTAAATGAATATGGCAATTAAATTGGTTTAATAGGCAGCTAGTTAGACAAGTATCTGTGGCAAATGGGGTACACAGGCACATATGGCAATTCTCAGCACTGCACTGCATATATGGCAGAGGAGTATTATAAATGAGTTCACAGGGCTTTCAAATCTGCTCGGCTTGAACTGATCATTTCACATTTTTTCTCAGCCAGATGCAAATGGACTGAATGTTCTGCAGCTGTCATCACCTCTCTGCACAGTTAAAGGCAGTTGCCCCCGACTCAGAGTGCAATTTGCTTTTCGTGATGTACCCCCAGTGCTCCGTGCTCATAAAGGAATTCATTTGGAGAGAGCTGGCTACTGATCCTCCCTGGATGAAAAAAAGGTGCCTTGCCATGATGTCTGATTTACCATTTGTGGCAGTTCTGAAGGTTTGGAGCAATAAAACTGGCCAGCCCAGAGTAATGGTCAATGGCACACAGCTGGAGGTGCACAGCTGGCCTGACTATAAAAGGTTATTAATGGGTTTTTGTTTTAGCTTTTTTCAGATATTGCCAAAAACTGGGAAAAATTAAGTAACTTGGGATGCACCATGAACCTGGCTCTATGTGCAAAGCACTTTGTATTATAAAGAATCAAACTTGTACTGGCTCCCCAGACTGCTGCTATTCATATTCTTCGTTGGAATAAATTAGAAAGAGTGAATTAAAAATGCCTCTTCAGCATCATTTGTCAAGAAACAGTGGGAAGTGTCTCCTGCAGCAGTGCAAAATTCAATCCAAAGATTTTTCACTTCTGTCTTTGCATTGTTATTAGTAAAGCTGCTTTATGCCCCCAAAGCCTCTCTCACACCCAGGTGGGTATTGTGTTCATTTATCTCCCTGCCTGGAAGGCTCAAAGCAATAAAAATTGGCATTTCTTAACCACTCACAGAAACCAGAAATAATGCCAAATTTGGTGTGCCCTGTGTCCCTAGGGCAAACCAGTGAAGTCAGTGGAAATAAAAGGTGATGCCAAAAAGCTGTTCTGGTGGATGCAGAGGGCTGGTTAATACCAGGAAGAGCAAATCTTACCACAGGATACACATCTAGATGGGGAGAAACTTAAAGGGAAGAACTTCCAGGAAGAATCCAGCCCTGGCAACGCTGCTGTAGCCAAGTGAAGGTCCCACCACTGTGGTGTGTGCAGCACACGTTGAACACGTGCTCCATGATCAGGAGAGAGGAAACTCATGAAAGGTCTGCCCTGTCAAACTGACAAATGACCTGAACCCATCACCAGGAGCATCCACTCCAAACAACATCCTGTCTTTTATGATCTTTAAATACACATTTTCTCATCTTCCTTCCCCTGTGCAAACATTAAATCTCCATCTTATATAGGTTTACACAACTCCATTAAATTTTTGAGGAACCTGAAGCACCAGCTCTAAGAGCTGCTCTCCTTAGCATTCAATGTATTACAAACTCTCTCGGCAAACCATGAAGTTTTATTACTTCCCACACCTCATTTTGGGTGTGTGTGTAATTTGGTTAGAGAGAAATAATCACTGCAATGGTTATGGGCCACCACTCTAAGAAACAGAGAATTCAATCTGAAGACTCCAGCTCGTGTAGCTGCAGGAGCCAAGGAGCAACTGGTACTGAAAGGCTTTCTCAGTATTTCTAAGAAGGAACCAGGTTGACCCAAAAGCATCATGATTCTGGCAAGATAATGCTTGTAACAGGCTAGTGGCAATTTGTGAGCTGATTTGCAGTGCTTTTATCAGGGATTTCTCTAATAGCCAAAAAAGAGCAGTTAAGCAGGCCAGACTTCTCCTCCAATCTGCTCCCCTCACAGAAGTCCCTTCCCACCCAAGCCATGCACACAAGCAAATGTGATTTTTGAGCATTCCCAGCTGTTCAGGAAAAATTTCATACCTCGGGCATTCAGCACAATTCTCAGACCAATAACAGAGCCATGGAGCACTTGCAGTGAGCCTATAAACCAGGGCTGTCCCCTCCCCTCAGGGACATTCTCCCAGCCCCCAGCACGGTGCTGCCCCAGACTGGGCCTACCACCAGAAATAGAACAAGAGAAGGTTACTCCACCTGGCACTTGCCATGTACACAGAGGTCTGTCTCATAGGGCCCACAGGGAGTTCCATCCAGGACTCTGTCTGCCACCAGCACAGGAGAATCCTTGCCCAGTGGGGAGCAGAAGAGCTCACATGGCTTATCTGGGAAAAGAAATATGACAATTGCCCTTGGGAACAGCACAAACAAGGGTCTGAGGCCATGGTGATGCATTATCTACATAAATACATTTGGATATCTCATCTTTGAAGGAACAGGAGGCTTTCAGTTTAAGTCTGTCATTTTCCCACTTTAAATATCACTATTTAAAGGGTTACATTGATGAGACTGGGCTTTAACAGCACAGGAAACCAATTGGTCAGTACAGTTTTGTGTATCTATTTGTAAAGAGAAGATGTTTGTTACAGGGAACATTCATCAGTCGGATAAGAATGATCAAGTCATTGTAATTCACAACATTCAGGCTACAGCCAGTGATTTTAGAAGAACAAGTTCTCCAGACCATTTCATATCCCAGCAATATCTGCTTGAATAGCAGATGAACAGCAAAGCCCAGCAGAAGAAGTGTTAAAGGAATAGAGGTGAGATAGGTAATCTCACCACATATGCTGAGATGCCCCAAAGTGACATAAATTAAAATATGGCACAGGGAATCCACCTTTCTTTCCAGTTCCAAACTAACTGGAATGTTTTCATGTTGAAAAAGCTGGGAATTTCAGACTGGGAATCAAGTTAAGGCACTTCTCTCTCAACATTTCAAAAAGATGAGTAAAGCATTGACAACTCAGTATGTTCTATTAAGAAGGCTAAAGGAACAGCAGGGCAGCACCAAGAACAATTAATTGTAATTAGTCTTTCAGCTGTAGCTAAAGGGGGTCTATTGCAGCCTTCTCACCACCAATGGAGCCCTGCAGATGAGAAACTGCAGCAAAAGAACAGTGAGGAATTACAGAGGGAGATGAAAAAACTCACCATCCACGATGACAGCTGTCAGGAGGCTTTTCTTCTTGTTGGTGTACCTGTCGTGGGCCTGGCACTGCTGGTCCCTGAAGCTGGGCACCCCTTTGGGGCAGGGCAGGTTCTCACACACCGTGTGCTCCACGCTGGCCCCACGGCAGTTCTTCCCACCCGGCCCCGGGCTGCAATGGGAAACAAAACCAGGGTCAGCACCAGACACCTGGAATGTTCCATCTTCCCCCTCCCACCCTTCCTTTGCCCCTTGCCTCAAACATCCCATCAGCACCTCCTCCTCCTTGCTATAACCTGCACTGTTGGCATGGTATCCAGAACAAACCTGTGCTGCAGATAACCTCCATCCATGAAATCCATGCCATTCCACACATTTGTTTTTTAAACATACAGGAAGGGCCACTAATGCAACATCAGAATTAAGCACCTGCAAAACTTATCTGTTTTTATTTATGAATCCCCAGAGAAGAAGGAAAACTCAAACTCTCAGCAATAGCCTGTATTTTCTTTGCAAAATAAAATGAAATACAAACAAAAAACCACAGGTAAGCATGGAATCTGGAATTCCAGGTCCCAAGCCTTGCACTTATGAGCTTGACCATGGGATTTCCAATAAACAGGGCAATCCAAGCCCCTCCTGGCACATGTCTGAAACAGTGACTGTGTGAGATATTCTGGTAGGCAGCCACTTTTCACTGTATTTATGGCAAGAGAATCCACCAACTAAGGGAACTGAAGAAATCAAAGTCCATTTATGCTGCTGTGACCCTTTTACATGACAAGGGGAGACTGGAGAAGGGATGCTCTGTTTAAGCCAAGGTTTTCTCCTCAGTCCAAAGCCTAGACAGGAACACAAGGCAGTATAACTCAAAATTCTGCACGTGCAAACTGGCTTATGACACATTCCTTACAACCATGGGGAGGCAATGCATGTAAATGTTCAAAGAAATTACAGAGAGGAAAAACCAAATCAAACAGTGAAGCAACTGGTTTAAAAATACTGATAGTCCCACAGGCTCAAGAGTCAGCTGGCAGAAGCAGAGATTCCTGTAAAAAAAAAAATCCCAAGACCAAATATATACAAAATAAAAGATAAATCCCTTAGCCAGTATTTCTGGACAGTGAATAAACCAGCTGCAGAAGTGGGCTGAGGCCAGGAATTTGAAGCAAAAGAAGATCACGTGTGTATCTCCAGCCAAGAATGTATATGAGCAAGAGAATTTTAAAATCAGTGTGCAGTGTTGGAAGGAGCATTTCCTGTAATTTAATGACCGATGATGAATGGATTTAGGTTTGGTCAGCACTGTAGCTGACAGCAAAGAAACCAGCTCAGTCCCCTTTTCAGGAAAATGAGCTGGTAAAAATCAAACCTGGATATTCTAGACATGCAACTGCAGCTCAGATAAGGAGAGCAATAAACAAAAATATCCTTTTCACATAATTACAGGTCAACAGCATCAATTGTGAGCCTATCCATCATCTAGGCATGTCTTTGAAGTGACTGTGTTGCTATGCAGAATTTCAGCCCCAATTTAAAAAGAAAAGCTTTGGGTACTTCATGTGTAGAAGAAAACCTAAAATCTGAATAAAGTCAGAGATACTGCATTTGGAGGGCACCCAAGGCTGTGAAGTTATAATATACACAACAGGGTGGCCAGTTAAATGGCAGTTAAATTGTAACCTCTTCAGGACTCCAAAATGATGAAGAGACATCCAGATGGACCTCAAATGACCTAAGGGATGAAGGACAACACCTACATTTCATCCTGAATCAGAAAAAATCCAAGCCCATGCAGAGAGCACAGACTTGGTTGTAGTCACTGTGCAGGAGCTGAAGAGCATCCACGGCTCTCTGCATGCATGAAAACCTTGCTGTTCTTATGCAGCACATCCTGACCTGTGAGCATCTCAAGGGGCTTTGCCAAGGCAGCGCTGGGACACTGATCATTGTCAGCCACTGCACTGCTCCCCAAGCCCAGAGCAAGCACTCCTGCAGAACTGATCTCTAAGGCACATCAGCTCCCTTTGGTCTGTAGATCCAGATCAGCCCCTCCTCATTCACTGTAGTGCTGGAGGGGAAACACAGCATCAGTTTTTCTGCCAAACTACATGTATCTAATTCAACTGTATCCACCTTTGAATCACTGCAATGGGAAACTTCCAAAGGTGACCCCTCAAGCCACTTCCACAGAACCACTTCAAGTCACTCCAGGATTCCAACCTGGTCATTGCAGCTTGTGAATCAGAAATTTCTTCAGAGCTTCTGCCCAGCTCTGCTGCCCATGCCTCCCCTGTACTCTTGCAGCAAGGGTTGCCCAAGAGGGAGAAGGCTGCCAGCACGGCAGAAGGAGCCAGGATGGTGTGAGGACTTACGGGGGGTTGTCACATTTCCGCTGCCTGAAGCGCACGCCTGTCCCGCACGTCCGGCTGCACATGCTCCACTGGCTCCACACGCTCCAGTCGCCGTCCACGTGCTCAGGGATGGGGGTTTTACTGACACACTCCCCAGCTCGGCACCACTGCAAGGCAACCATGTTAGCACGGCCTGGGAGGAAGCCCTGACCTTGCACAGGTGGACTTTAAAGGATGGCTGAGGGATTGCAACAAGTCCACGTTTAAGTTTCTAGGGATTCGAGGCTTTGGTGAGGTGGCAGTAGGGGAAGGAGGAAGGGAGGGGGTGAAATGTAAAAATTTAAGTGTCACTCTCAACAAGCCCCTGAAGGGGGTTCTGTCATTAAAAAAGCAATCACAGAATTGAGCCCCTTACTTTATAAAACAGATAATTATCTAAGCACTAAGACTTGAAGCCCCACGATTCACAGCAACTGAGTCCAAGAAATTATACCCCAAAGCAATGCCTTCATCAGCACTGCTCCCAGTATGTACAAAATGATTGAAGTATTTTGGACTTAACTTGGCTAAAGCCCCAAACCCCTCTGGTTCTAATAGGTTGTGCTGGCTCCTGACCAAGCAGCAAACTTGGCCTGTCCAGAATGTGACAAAGTGAGCACAGCTAAGAAACCTTATGAAAGAGTCACCAGGACTCCTCCAGTTAGAAAAACATGGGCATAAAAACCTTTTTTTTTTCAGTTTCCTTGTCATGGTTTCCAGGACCCAGTTTTTCTTGACATTATCTTTATTTGCAGGCAAAAAAAAGGTTCCAATCCTTGATTTCAGCAGCCAGCTTCTTAATTTTACCTTTTCTTACCTCCCCAGCTGTATCATAGATTAAAAAAAAAAAATTAGAGTCCAAAACCAGTAAGTAGGGGGCTGAGAGTTACCAAACCAGTAAAGTTCCAAAAAACACATATATAAATAAATACAGCCAATTATTACCTCAAAAAGAACAGAACATCACTGAATTTGAGCTCAGTTCTCTTGAGCTACTTGTAGAAACTATGAAGTTTTTAAGTAGCCTCTTTTTCCTTCCCCATTTTCCTCACCTCCCCAAATGTCAGACTAAATGCTCTGCACACTTTCTACCTCAAATACAACGCAGAACACAACCAGCTATGGGTTTATGGTAAATACTGAACATCTTGGAAACACTTTTCCCAATGCTGGGAAACAAGAAGTGACTGCTGCTGAGCATCCTGATTACCTTGTCTGCGCCACACTCGGTGCCATCCAGAGGGGGGTCCAACTTTGTCTTACAGGATGTGTCTCCTTCCACCAGGCACCAGAGCCCAGCACACATCAAATGCTGTAATCACAAAGCAAGGAGGTGCAGTTATTGCTTTTGGAGATGCCAGCCATTATTATGGGATACACTTCAAAGCTCAGGCAGTCTTTCTCAAGTGAATCCAGAGGCATCCAGTTGGTTTGGGAGCAATTTTTTAAGGGTTGATTGGCATTAAGTGGTGAGGCTGGAAACATGAAAGAGATTGATGGATGCCACTGACAGGAACAGAACCTACCCCAAACAAAAAGTGTGCTATTTGAACAGATTTCTTTTCACAAGAATAAATCTGGTCCATTAAAAAGGAATCCTATATGGGAGGCCACGTTGGGTGCTTTGGAACCATGCCAACTGCTTAGATGTCCAAGATACTTAATTACTCCTATTTTTTAAAAAAATAACTGAAGTAACTGCAGCTGGTGGTAGCAATAATCAGCCAGCAATGCCCCTGGGGAGAAGGTGGAATGAGAAAGAGGAAAGGCTGTCATGGTGTGCTGTACAGCAAAGGAGGAGCTCGGTGACAGGCAGGGTCAAAGACTGGGAATATTCTGGGGATCATTCCCCAGTGCTGCTGCTCTGCTCAGCCAGTGTGTGCTGCAGGGATCTCAGTGCTGACCACAACTGTGACCTGCCAGATCAAAACATCTTCAGAATTTAAGAAAAAGCACCAGGAAAAGGGACCTTTGCATCAGTAACATTTTCCACAGCATCCACCATGCTTTGCATTCCATGGAAGGGGATGATTCCAATACAGTGCTACATAGCTGAGTACCAGAAGAACAACAAAGAATAATTACATTTCTTTCCACTATTGTTCACATTTCAATGTAATGGTAAAAAAGATGAGAAACCTGATTCTAGTGCCAGCTGGTCTTGTCAAGATTTATTGCACCTCATTAAATGGTTGAGTCAACATGCTTCAGCCTCATGGTTCTTCCCCAATGTAATGTAAGAGACTGTGGGTGCATGTGTGCTTTGTGTACAGGCATGTTGGTATGTCTCTATAAAACACACCATGTCTCTATAAAATAGATCTGTACAAGAGAGGGTGCAGATGAGATAAATCCCAGTCCCAGTGATGATGTAGAACATACTGAAACAAAACAGTTTTCACAGCAGTATCTGCATCCTGCTCCATTTCCACATTTCTTTCTGGAAAGAGAATTTTTCGCTATTTAAACCCAAAGAACATTCACAAAAACTGGAAGCAGACAGCACAATTCAGCATCTGTATTAACCACAATGCAGAAAGTCAATGTCAAACAAACACAACAGCAAATACTCCAGGGAAACCTAAATCAATGAATTTTCAAGACATTTTCTCTGAACAAATAGAGCATATGGGAAAATATCAGTCTTTAGTAATTTTGACTAAATGACTGTGACTAATTAGTGGTTTACCCACAGCTCTGAAAGCACTTAAACACCAATTAGCCATAAGGACATCACACACAGTTTTATTGATAATAAAATTACCTATCAATAATATAATTTATTGATAGGTACAGAGAGGCAGAAGCATTGACAAGGCAGAGATTTCAGAGCTTACTGAGAAATTCATTGTTCTACCTCATGACTCCCAGATTCTCCACCCCCGGCCTTCTGGAGAGGACTAAAATCAAGAAGTACATCAATTAACCATGCATAAGCTTTACAGGAAGAACACAAATCTAGACCATAAACCACAGTGTGAAGGCACTACCAGCAAAACCTCCTTCCAAACTGTGCCTGGGGACAATGTTGGTACGTAAAATGAAGGGAAGCTTTGGAAATGAAAGATGCAGACAGCAAGTATTTCCACTTTTCCAGTCTTCAACCCCTCTCTTACATATAACCACAAAGCTTCAGAGCAGAATGGGAGGAGAAACACTCCAGCCAGATCTCTTGAATGACCCAGACAGAAATTTTGCCCCCAGAAGGAAACCCTCTGCTTCTGCTTTCTGTCAGAGGGACATCCTGGCAGAAGATGTGATGGAATTCACAACATCCCTGAAGAAGTTGTTCTAGAAATATATGAGCACCATTGCTAAATATCTGTGCATTAAGCAAGACCAGTGTTTGTTCAGCTTCAGGTCCCTGGATCACAAACTGCTTGTAAATTAGGGTTAATTTCTGCTCTTGGATGTAAAACTGGGAAGACAGAGTGGGTGGTGGTAGAAACAAAGTCGTAAAAATGAAATTTTTTTACAATTTTGGCTGGTAACCAGAATCCCTCCATAGCCCACAAGAACATGGAAGGTGATAAAGCCAGGTCACACACTCAAGTATGAGCCATGGCATGGGGAAGCAATGGGCAGAGATCACCTCAAATATGTGTGTTCAAACCTGCAAAACAGCCCAGAGTAGGGTACAGAGGGTGGAAATATTCACATACATGTGGGTGTGGTGTGTGCATATATATGTGTGTGTCTATGCCCATATATTCATGTACACACACACATAATTGTAGGGAGATAAATAAAGGAAATACCTCTCTCAGCAGCACCAACCTTTCTGAAATCTCCCATCTTCGAGGTATGGAAAACATTGGATTTTTATAGCATCCCTGTGTTTGATTCAGAATCCTAAATGCAAAGCATATTTCAGGAAACAGTTACAGAAAAATCTGGTAATGGTGCTGAGCTCTGTGTTTTGGTGCCACACCACTGCAAAGCCCAGGCCCTGGTTAGCCCAGTCCCCCGCATTTAACAGTGTTCAGATACTCCAGCAAAGATGAAACCATCAGCTTTGGGATTGTATGTTCCCAAGACGTTTTATCATGTTAATAGCTCTGTTCAAAAGAGATCATGTATCCTCCTCAGCTACAATAGGAACCCAAACAAAACTCCCCATTAAACAGCAAAGCAGTCAGTGATTTTTTAATGGTTAAACAGCCAGCTTTGTGGGGAAATATCCAAGTGAGAAATGGCAGGACTTGAAAGGAAGTTGTAAATGAGTGGCAGCTCAGAGCTTATACTGATACAGAAGAAGCCATCAAAAGAACTGTATTAGTGCTAATTCTGCATTCAGCAACCAGCTTTCAGATGGCAGGTCCCTGCCTGCAAAGCATTCCCTACAGCGTTCAAAAAGTGCCAGGGAGGATTTTCCAATGACAGATATTTCGCACTGGAAAAATATTGATTTGTTGAAACTGTCTGTGGGGAAAGGTCATCTTTGGATCAGCTCCCAGTTTGAAATATTTCCAAGACAAAAATAAAAATTTAAAAAGCGAGATGGCTGTTGAGAAGTAGTGTTTCAATAAAAATTTTAAATTACTAGAATTACTAAAAGAAAAAAAGAAATGCTTTTTCAACTGAACCCTTAAGGAATTTATTTAGCAAAAAAAAAAAAAAAACAACTTAGAAACTGAAATAAAATGAAATTGCTATGAAGGTGTAAATTTTAGACATTCAAAACCTCCTGGGAGATAGGAAAGCTTGTCTGCACAGCTGTTAGGAAGCAGTCCTGGGAGAGGTCAGGATCTGGAAACTCCCAAGCTGGGAGAGATGTGCTGGGCAGGTGAGCGGCGCTTCCGATTACAGGGACTATAATGGCATCCATTTGACAAAGGGGCCTCACTGTGCCAGGTGTTTTCTCTCCCTCAAAGATCTCACCATCTAAACAGACTCCTGGGAGCTTGGGGATAAAGGAAGTTTTATCACTCCGTTCTAGGTGGAAAGATGAGGAACAGAAAGGGATTAAATGTCTTGCTGAAAGTCTGCTGGGGGATGAGCTGAACCAGAGCTGCTCAGAGCTCTCTGCTCAGTGTCATAGCCACAGGCTCCTGTGTCACTGCTGCAGCTGAAGCCAGGCTCTGGCTCTGGCCCTTCCCAGCTTTCCCAGCTTCTCACACTTTCCCAGGATGGTGTTCCTTTCCCTGGGACTCCATCCCCACCCAGACTCCCAGGCTGCAGAGCTCAGGCGCAGCTCAGTGCAGGGATCTGTTGGAGGTTCCTTAGCTCAGTGCTGCAGCTGGAAATGAGGAATGGCAAAATCACTCCAGCCAGCTCCTGGTCCACAGGCAGCAAGTCTGGAGCTCTTGCTGGGGTAGCTATTGCATCACCACTGCTGCTAAAATCTGTGTGATCCTGCCCCATGACCTCATGAGGGCTCACAACACTCCCCCAGCTCAAACCTCAGATTGTTACCTGCAAGGGGAGCTCCCAAACCTCCAAAGTATAAGGAGAATCCAATGAATAAAGATGTCCCTCCCACCATGGAGCAACTCTACAGAAGCTTGTTCATTCCCTGCACATTCACTCCTTTACCTTATCTGCATCCAAGGAAAGAAACACTTATTTCTCCTAGAGATGAATTTGTTTCTGTTGCCTCTTCTTTCTAGCAGCAGAATTAAACCACCAGAAACCAATTTTTCTGTCAAAATGAGGGGACTATGAATAAGAACTTAGGAACCGTAAATATCCTTAAGGGAGAGGAGAAAGAGACCTCATAACACACAGGCTTGCTTCTAAATAGGCTGACTTTCAATGAAGTATCAGAACTCTCTTATTTTGCCAAGGTAAAGGCTCAGCATATTGCTAAGCAGGAGAGAAAATGTACTTATGAATGTGATCCTAATTAACATCTATTAGGTAAAATAAACACACAATTTACTCTTGCTTTCCTGTTCAAAGCACAATGCAAATGTTCTCAGAGTCTCACAGGATGCTTCTGAGCAGCAACTCTACACAAGGTGACAAAAACAATGCCCCCAACTTCTACACCATCACTGTCTTTAATTCTGGGTGCCTGAACAACCCACAGCAATCACAAGGGAGGTGAGCAGCATTGTTTGATGGAGCTTCTTGCTGCTGAAAATGAGATGAGAAGTGTTCCAAACTCAAATCCTGTAAAACTGGAAGGCACTTTTGGAAAGGAGCCACGTTAACCCAGACAAGATAATTGTGAAACTCAGATCCATGTCTCAGTGGCCAAACTGCTGACCTGTGTCTAGAGCTGATATTCCAAGATAGTGCCAGACAAGCAGTGGAAGACTCCCAGACTGCAAGGAAGGCACAAAGGAATAGAAACACTTTCTGTGGTTT